GTGTTGCTGTGGCAGGAGAGGGTGGGTGCCAGGCCCTGCCCCAGCCGCTCCCCCTAGATGCTGGTGATGATGCTGCGGCAGTACTTGGAGAAGCTCTCTGCCATTGTGGACAGCAACATTAACTGTGGCCCTGTCCTCAGCTGGATGGAGGTGAGATATTGGGGGCAGGAAAGAAAAGTAGGGGCTATCCAGCATCAGAACCTGAACCCCTGGCTTCTGCCCCCTCCATCGGACCTACGCCCCCTCCCGGCCTCCCTCCCTATCGGACCTACGCCCCCTCCCGGCCTCCCTCCCTATCGGACCTACGCCCCCTCCCGGCCTCCCTCCCTATCGGACCTACGCCCCCTCCCGGCCTCCCTCCCTATCGGACCTACGCCCCCTCCCGGCCTCCCTCCCTATCGGACCTACGCCCCCTCCCGGCCTCCCTCCCTATCGGACCTACGCCCCCTCCCGGCCTCCCTCCCTATCGGACCTACGCCCCCTCCCGGCCTCCCTCCCTATCGGACCTACGCCCCCTCCCGGCCTCCCTCCCTATCGGACCTACGCCCCCTCCCGGCCTCCCTCCCTATCGGACCTACGCCCCCTCCCGGCCTCCCTCCCTATCGGACCTACGCCCCCTCCCGGCCTCCCTCCCTATCGGACCTACGCCCCCTCCCGGCCTCCCTCCCTATCGGACCTACGCCCCCTCCCGGCCTCCCTCCCTATCGGACCTACGCCCCCTCCCGGCCTCCCTCCCTATCGGACCTACGCCCCCTCCCGGCCTCCCTCCCTATCGGACCTACGCCCCCTCCCGGCCTCCCTCCCTATCGGACCTACGCCCCCTCCCGGCCTCCCTCCCTATCGGACCTACGCCCCCTCCCGGCCTCCCTCCCTATCGGACCTACGCCCCCTCCCGGCCTCCCTCCCTATCGGACCTACGCCCCCTCCCGGCCTCCCTCCCTATCGGACCTACGCCCCCTCCCGGCCTCCCTCCCTATCGGACCTACGCCCCCTCCCGGCCTCCCTCCCTATCGGACCTACGCCCCCTCCCGGCCTCCCTCCCTATCGGACCTACGCCCCCTCCCGGCCTCCCTCCCTATCGGACCTACGCCCCCTCCCGGCCTCCCTCCCTATCGGACCTACGCCCCCTCCCGGCCTCCCTCCCTATCGGACCTACGCCCCCTCCCGGCCTCCCTCCCTATCGGACCTACGCCCCCTCCCGGCCTCCCTCCCTATCGGACCTACGCCCCCTCCCGGCCTCCCTCCCTATCGGACCTACGCCCCCTCCCGGCCTCCCTCCCTATCGGACCTACGCCCCCTCCCGGCCTCCCTCCCTATCGGACCTACGCCCCCTCCCGGCCTCCCTCCCTATCGGACCTACGCCCCCTCCCGGCCTCCCTCCCTATCGGACCTACGCCCCCTCCCGGCCTCCCTCCCTATCGGACCTACGCCCCCTCCCGGCCTCCCTCCCTATCGGACCTACGCCCCCTCCCGGCCTCCCTCCCTATCGGACCTACGCCCCCTCCCGGCCTCCCTCCCTATCGGACCTACGCCCCCTCCCGGCCTCCCTCCCTATCGGACCTACGCCCCCTCCCGGCCTCCCTCCCTATCGGACCTACGCCCCCTCCCGGCCTCCCTCCCTATCGGACCTACGCCCCCTCCCGGCCTCCCTCCCTATCGGACCTACGCCCCCTCCCGGCCTCCCTCCCTATCGGACCTACGCCCCCTCCCGGCCTCCCTCCCTATCGGACCTACGCCCCCTCCCGGCCTCCCTCCCTATCGGACCTACGCCCCCTCCCGGCCTCCCTCCCTATCGGACCTACGCCCCCTCCCGGCCTCCCTCCCTATCGGACCTACGCCCCCTCCCGGCCTCCCTCCCTATCGGACCTACGCCCCCTCCCGGCCTCCCTCCCTATCGGACCTACGCCCCCTCCCGGCCTCCCTCCCTATCGGACCTACGCCCCCTCCCGGCCTCCCTCCCTATCGGACCTACGCCCCCTCCCGGCCTCCCTCCCTATCGGACCTACGCCCCCTCCCGGCCTCCCTCCCTATCGGACCTACGCCCCCTCCCGGCCTCCCTCCCTATCGGACCTACGCCCCCTCCCGGCCTCCCTCCCTATCGGACCTACGCCCCCTCCCGGCCTCCCTCCCTATCGGACCTACGCCCCCTCCCGGCCTCCCTCCCTATCGGACCTACGCCCCCTCCCGGCCTCCCTCCCTATCGGACCTACGCCCCCTCCCGGCCTCCCTCCCTATCGGACCTACGCCCCCTCCCGGCCTCCCTCCCTATCGGACCTACGCCCCCTCCCGGCCTCCCTCCCTATCGGACCTACGCCCCCTCCCGGCCTCCCTCCCTATCGGACCTACGCCCCCTCCCGGCCTCCCTCCCTATCGGACCTACGCCCCCTCCCGGCCTCCCTCCCTATCGGACCTACGCCCCCTCCCGGCCTCCCTCCCTATCGGACCTACGCCCCCTCCCGGCCTCCCTCCCTATCGGACCTACGCCCCCTCCCGGCCTCCCTCCCTATCGGACCTACGCCCCCTCCCGGCCTCCCTCCCTATCGGACCTACGCCCCCTCCCGGCCTCCCTCCCTATCGGACCTACGCCCCCTCCCGGCCTCCCTCCCTATCGGACCTACGCCCCCTCCCGGCCTCCCTCCCTATCGGACCTACGCCCCCTCCCGGCCTCCCTCCCTATCGGACCTACGCCCCCTCCCGGCCTCCCTCCCTATCGGACCTACGCCCCCTCCCGGCCTCCCTCCCTATCGGACCTACGCCCCCTCCCGGCCTCCCTCCCTATCGGACCTACGCCCCCTCCCGGCCTCCCTCCCTATCGGACCTACGCCCCCTCCCGGCCTCCCTCCCTATCGGACCTACGCCCCCTCCCGGCCTCCCTCCCTATCGGACCTACGCCCCCTCCCGGCCTCCCTCCCTATCGGACCTACGCCCCCTCCCGGCCTCCCTCCCTATCGGACCTACGCCCCCTCCCGGCCTCCCTCCCTATCGGACCTACGCCCCCTCCCGGCCTCCCTCCCTATCGGACCTACGCCCCCTCCCGGCCTCCCTCCCTATCGGACCTACGCCCCCTCCCGGCCTCCCTCCCTATCGGACCTACGCCCCCTCCCGGCCTCCCTCCCTATCGGACCTACGCCCCCTCCCGGCCTCCCTCCCTATCGGACCTACGCCCCCTCCCGGCCTCCCTCCCTATCGGACCTACGCCCCCTCCCGGCCTCCCTCCCTATCGGACCTACGCCCCCTCCCGGCCTCCCTCCCTATCGGACCTACGCCCCCTCCCGGCCTCCCTCCCTATCGGACCTACGCCCCCTCCCGGCCTCCCTCCCTATCGGACCTACGCCCCCTCCCGGCCTCCCTCCCTATCGGACCTACGCCCCCTCCCGGCCTCCCTCCCTATCGGACCTACGCCCCCTCCCGGCCTCCCTCCCTATCGGACCTACGCCCCCTCCCGGCCTCCCTCCCTATCGGACCTACGCCCCCTCCCGGCCTCCCTCCCTATCGGACCTACGCCCCCTCCCGGCCTCCCTCCCTATCGGACCTACGCCCCCTCCCGGCCTTCCTCCCGCAATGGACCTACGCCCCCTCCCGACCTCCCTCCCGCATTGGACCTACGCCCCCTCCTGGCCTCCTTCCCTATCGGACCTACGCCCCCTCTCGGCCTCCTTCCCTATCGGACCTATGCCCCATCTTGGCCTCCCTCGTGCCATTGGACCTATGCCCCCTCCCTACTTCCCCCCACATCCCACCTACACCCCCTCCCAACCTTCCTCCCATCATCTGACCCACAGCCCCCTCCACCCTGAGGGTCTCTGGGTCCTGCTGTTAGCTCCCCTCTGTGGGTCCATTCACACTGGAGTTTGGGGCCAGGCTTCACTCCAAAGGGGCAGTGCCCCCAGGCTGACTCAGCCAGCGTGAGACGCTGGGAACCAGCCAGAGAACTTAGAGCTCCCGGCAGAGCCCAGCTGGGTTCAGGTCCCTGGCTAGAGCCCCCCCATTGGCCCCAGTGTCTCCAGCAGTCCCCATCCCCTCCCTGTGGCCCTTTCCCCACCTCACCCAGTATTCACCCCTCTCCTCCCCCCTTCATCACAACCGGGGCCAGAGAGCCCAGTATTCACCCCTCTCCTCCCCCCTCCATCACACCCGGGGCCAGAGAGCCCAGTATTCACCCCCCAGGCCCTGATCACACCGCCTTGCCTCATGCTCACTCTTGCCCCTTCCCTGTTGCAGATTGATAACCATGGCAACCGGCTGCTGGTGAACGAGGAGGCGTCGATTAACGTCCCAGCTATTGCAGCCGCCCACGTCATCAAGCGCTACGCGGCCCAGGCTCCCGATGAGCTGTCCTTCGAGGTGGGGCGGGACACTGCCAGCCCCTTCCTTTCCTGGCCTGGGGCACTGTGCTGAGGAAGCTCACAGCCCCAGAGACCCCAGCTGGGGCACTGTCCTTGGGAAACTCACAGAACGAGAGCCCCCTCCTCCCAGCTGGGGCACTGTCTTGGGAAAGTTCACAGCACTGGAGCCGTGCCCCCGCATCTCCACCCTGGCTGGGGCACTGCTTCGGGGAAGTCCCCCTGACTGTCTCTCTGCTCTGCACAGGTGGGGGACATTGTCTCAGTGATCGACATGCCTCCCAAGGAGGAGGCCAGCTGGTGGCGAGGCAAACACGGCTTCCAGGTGGGTGCGGAGCCCAGGGCGTGCTCCTTGGGGGGCTCCTTGCTGGGTACTGTGCCCCACAGAGCCTGCACGGGAGAGCCAGGGGCGTGGTGAGGGGGAGGCAACGCGGGGAGGCGGGGTCCCGGCTCTGCCTGAGCTGCCCCCCTCCCCTGACCCTCCCCGGTGTAGATGCAGCCTGCGCCAACCGAGGCTCTGCACCCTGCTGCTCCGTCCCCCTCCCCCACACACACCGGCTGGCTGGGCATAGGGACGTGCCTGCTCAGGGAGTCGCTCCGGATTAGCCAGCACTCACTAGCTGCCCGTGTGGACAGACATGCTCACTCTGGACGCCAGCCACCCCTAGGGCCTAAGCTGCCATGGCAAAGGCGAGACCCCAGCTCCATTGCTAGAGGGGCAGGGGAACTGTGCTTGTAGAAGAGCCTCAGTGGGCACAGGCTGTGTCTACCCCAGGGCACCCGCTGGCAGGGGTCTGCCATGGCCATTGACGCTCAGGACTGGGCATCCAGGTGTGCTGGGCTTGGGTTACTTCCGACTGGGTTGTGGGTTAATCCGGATTCACTGTTCAAGGGGATGAGGAAAGGAAATCCAGATTTGCTGTTGGTGGGTTAAGCTAGATTCACTCTGGTGGGGTTAATCCAGTTTTGCCATTAACATGGATGAGGAAAAGAAATCCAGACTCGCTGTGGGGGGCTTGCCCAGGCTGTGTGAAAGTGGGTTAGTGGAAGGGTTGTGTGGACATTCTCCTCCCGTCGGGTGCGTGTCGCTCGCTAGAGGTGGATTGGGAAGTTCTGCTGCTGTTCGGAAGCCAAGCGCCCACCCAGCGCCTAATTCAGCTGAGCAAACACGCCTTTGGCTGCTCTGGATTCTGCCCTAGGGAGGGGTGGGTCCGGGGGAGGGGAGGACTCCAGTCCGTGGAGCCGGGGGCATCTCTCAGGGTAGCCTGAGGGGATCCCCATGTTCAGCTGTTGGGAGAGGGGAGGAGTGGACCCTGACCCCGCTATCTGTCCGTCTGTCCTCTCTCCAGGTCGGCTTCTTCCCCAGCGAGTGTGTCGAACTCTTCCCGGACCGCTTGGCACCAGGGCTCAAAGCAGGTGACTCCTGGGCCCCACAGAAGGTGGCCCTAGAGGCTTGGGCAGAGGGGTGCAGGGGTTACCCTGACCCAAGCCTCACCAACCCCCTTCCCTCCAGTGTCACTCACCGCTCCTTGGGGCCCCCCACCTCCTCTTGCTGTCAGCCACCACTCCCAGGGACCCCAACATCCCCTGACCTGCCCTCCATCCCCTCAACCCCTACCCTGCCCTTGCTCTCCATAACCTCCCACCCTTTACTGGGGCCCCGTCTTTGCCACCCAACCCCGTCTCTTCCCCTCTGCTGCCTCCAACAGACACAGACGGGACGGCTACCAGCATCCCCGGCGTCCTTGCACCCCAGGGGCCCCTCTCCCCCACGTCAGGTAAGTAAGCTGGCTCTAAGCTAGAGAGGCGGGGCTAAGGTGCATGAGACCCTGCAGTAACATTCCCACCCCAGAGTGGCTGCATCCCAGCCCTGAGCTGTCCATGGGTGGTGGTGTATGCGGCTGTTCCCGGCTGCCCCACCCCAGAGATGGCTGCATCCCAAGCCAGATGAGCCATCCATGCTTCAGTCCCACGCCCTGTGGTGTCTCCACCTGGCAGACGGGGTTTAATAGCTCTGTTTGGGGGCCAGACGGGGGGCCGGGGCATCACTGAAGCTGGGTGGTCCTCTCTGGCCGCTGTGCAAGCGTCGCTCCCTCCGCAGAGCCTGGCGGTGGCAGGTGCCTGGAATGGATTGGGCAGGGGAGGGGAGGTGTCAGCCTCTCTTCCATTCCCCTCCCCCCCCTGCACCCTCCCCCGTGCTCACCTGCCCAGGAGGCTGCAGGCACGGCCCCCCACCCGCTTCCCTGGCTGAGCCAACCATGAAACTGCCCAGAGCCAGCGTGGCCAAGGCACCTGCGAGACAGAAGATGTGGGGCTGGGGGGAAACTGCAGGGATCCGGGGCCAGAGGAAGGGGTTGGGGGTCAGGAGTGAGGACGGAGAAGATGGGGCAGGGGTGGAGTTGGGGGGTAGGCTGTTAAGTCCCCTGTAAGCTATTTAGCAGGCACTCAAGCTGCACAGGGCAGGGACTTGGGCAAGCCACCCCACCCCTACCCTCCAACCCGGCCCAATCCTGCCATGGCCAGGGTGGCCTGGCTCTGCTCCCTCTCCAGCCCCGTCTCCTGCCCACCCAGGTGCTGTTCAGAGAGTGGGGGGATCCCGGAGCACCCGCTTTCATCCCAAACCAACCCTGGCCCCACCCCTAGGGCCGTCTCAGCCCCCTGCACCAGGCCCGAGCCTCCTTCCAGGCTGCAGACCCCTTGGCCCTTCCCCCGCCACGTGACTCATATGTTGTACACCAATGTGAAGGTGACATGTTGCATGTCACCTCCCTGTCGCACGTCTCCTCCCACAATGGTGCACATAACAAAATTCATTCCACTCGGAGATAGGGTTGCCAGGTGTCCGGTATTCTCCTGGATAGTCCGATATTTTCGGCTCCTGTCTGGTAAAAAAATTCAGAGATACCGGACACCTAAAATGTCGAGTATTTTCTGAATTTTTCTCCGGCCAGGAGGTGAAAATGTTGGGCACCTGGCAACCCTACAAACACTCAGCGCCCGTCCTCTCCCCCCCACCCTGCCCCTTCCTGGCTTCTGGCGCCCCCAGCCTCCTGACCCCATGCTTACCTGGTTCCCCAAGGCTGCAGGCCAAAAGACCTAGGGGAAGCAATGGTTTCCCCTGGGTCTAAGTGCTCAACCGTTCCCAGTTCGTATCTGTCTCTTAAAGGGGGCATGCTGATTTAATGCTGTTTTTTTTTTTCCTCAACAACTTTGGTCTCCCTCCCGCCCTTTTTTTTCCCCTTCAATGGAATTTTTTCCCAATTTTTTTTTTTTGCCAGGGAAGGGGGGTGTTTGGTATTTTTGTTTCAACCCTACTCGGAGATGGGTAAAAATCAGTGCACATGAGGGTAAGGGAGGGGAGGAAGGCAGTTGGGGGTAAGGAGGACTGGGAGTAGGGGAGGCTGTTTGGGGGGCAGAGGATGCGGGAAGGGTTTGGGGAGCCTCTTACCTGTGAGAAAGCAGAGGGCAGCAGCCCCCCGGGCCCAATCAAGCCCCTTGGGGGCTGGGCAGGGAGTGAGTGCCAGGGCCCCACACAGCACGGAGAGGTACGAGGTCAGGACGGCTGGAACCAGGCATCCCCTCGACACTCCCACATATGCTGGGGGGGAGGGGGAGCAGAATGAGAGAGGGGGTTAGTGAACCTCTGCACACTATGGGGCCTTTCTGCCCCAGGGTTCCCCAGCATCATGCGCCGCTGTGTCCTCATGTGGGCAGTGGATGGCGCCAACGCTCCATGCACTGGGTATTGACAACAGGGAAGAGGGAGCTGCCCCCCACTCAGGGCTCCCTCTTGATGGGTACAGCTGACCCCCCCACACACACACACTCTTCTTTCAGCCAGTTTCCCGATCTAGCCCCTTCCTGATGCTGATGGAGCACATGGAACTCCCTGCCACTTGGCCTCACTGCAGTTATTGTGGGTCACTGAGAGCAGTTAATGCATGGGACTCCATGCCACTGGATAAAGGTGTGAATAACCTGTGGGACTCCCTGCCACCGGATCAGAGCAGGGTTAACCCGATGCCCCTACCTCGCTGGCCCTGGAGGGGGGTGCAGGTCCCCAGCTGACACTCCTGCCACAGCCCGCGGTGAATGACGATGCCCAGGACCCAGAGCCGGAGCCAGGACTCAGTGGCAGCACATACAGCCAGCAAGACAGTTGCCAAGCAGGAGAGATAGAGCCCGGCTGCCCCCATCTTGGAGCCCTGGCCCAGGGCCATCATAGACAGGGGAGACCGGGCACAGCTAGGCTGGAAAAGCTGTGGGGTTAACCTGTGGGACTCCCTGCGCTAGTGGGGTTAATCGGTGGGACTCCCTGCCACTGGGCACTGGAGAGGTTAACCCCCAGGACTCCCTGCCACTGACCATTGGAGGGGTTAACCCCTGGGGCTCCCTGCTTCTGGACATTGGTTGGGTTAATCCCCAGAGCTCCCTGTCACCGGGCATTGGTGGGGTTAACCTGTGGGACTCCCTGCTGCTGGGCATTGGTGGGGTGGGGTTAATCGGTGGGACTCCCTGCCACTGGGCACTGGAGAGGTTAACCCCCAGGACTCCCTGCCACTGACCATTGGAGGGGTTAACCCCTGGGGCTCCCTGCTTCTGGACATTGGTTGGGTTAATCCCCAGAGCTCCCTGTCACCGGGCATTGGTGGGGTTAACCTGTGGGACTCCCTGCTGCTGGGCATTGGTGGGGTTAACCTGCGGGACTCCCTGTCACTGGGCATTGGTGGGGTTAACCCCCAGGGCTCTCTGCTACTGGGCATTGATGGCGTTACCCCCCAGGGCTCTCTGCCACTGGGTATTGGTGGGGTTAACCTCTGGGACTCCCTGCCATGGGGCCGTGGCCAGGTATCCATTGGGTCTGTCCTGGTGGTCGTCTCCCCACCTCAGCTCTAATCAGGTCTTGACTCCCATGGTAACCCCAGGGTTCCAGAACCCCTGTGCCCATGTCGCCCCCGGCTCAGCCCCTGGGCCCAGCCCACTGGGCCCCCGTGGGTCGACAGGGGAGACGGTTCGGATGCAAAAGGACCATTTATTGCGGAGCAGGAACAGAGCCAGACACAATGGGCAAGCCGCTAGGGGGCGCTGGCTGTGCTCAGCCCCACAGCGGGACCCGCTGGCTCGAGGGGGGCAGGGAATGAGGTGTGCAGCCTTTCCCCTCAGGGGGCGCTAGCTCCGTTGCAGCAGGGGGCAGCAGAGGCTTTTGGGGGTGGGGGCCATCCAGTCCCCCC